CGCCGGCCTGACCCCTTTGGGGCTGGCTCGGGATAACCCGGGGCTCTGCCCTGAGGCCTCCCGCTGCTGTCACTCTGCCGTGTGTGGATGCGGGGTTGGGAAGTGCGGGTGGTGGGTCATCCTGAGGAGGATGCTCTCACCCTAGTTGCTAAATCTGGGAGATTTTTTTCCCATGCTACTCATTGTTAGCAAGTTTATGGGGAGTTTTTCACCTCCATACTGGCCAGATGTGAGTCAGCCGCTACCTGGAAGTCTGCAGCCATCAGCCCTACGCTCAATCTGGGTTACTAAGTCTCACAAAGAAGCTGCACAGATGACCTCAGGCAAGGGCCACCCTAAGACCAAGACATAACTTGCAGCCAGCTCAGGGCAAGGACAGAGCACCTGCCTGCAAAAGATAGCGGAAGCAGATCTAAGACTGTCACTCTCCCATCCACAATAAGCAAATCCTTTATTTATCCTCTTGCAGAATTAATCTTTGCTATAAAAGCAAAGAACTGCACCCTCCACTTGATGCTGAGCTGCCCAACACAGTGCTTATTTTAGAAACATCATCATAACCCTCATAACAGCAGGTAAATCGTTAGAAAGAGATGAAGCGAACTGACAAACTGGCAGTGGGAATATCAGACAGTATGAAACTACTAAAGAAACTTTGAATCAGCTATAGGTTAGTAAAATGCTCTATATATTACAAAACCAGTCAAAACTGAAACACCAAAAAAGGGGGGAGAGGATAAGGAGGAACATACATACAAATGTGAAAGGAGATTAAATTCACAGTCTTAAGGGTGCATTCGGTGTAATTCAAAAATTCCAAAAGGAAAGTCTGTTCATGTGTCAGAACAGGAACACATTAATGCCAACCATAATATTTTCCCACTCTATACATCTAAGATGCTGCAATATGAATGTTAATACAATTAATGCATATTACAACTGAAGATATAAATACAGCTGGCATAATCTGCCAGCACCATATCTTAAAAATATATGTGGGAAATGGAAATGGCAAACTGCTGGGTTAGCTCAGAAAGAGCAAAGCTTAGTTGAAAAGAGCGCAGAATATACGTGTTACCATCCTTCTTACCTTGTTTCTACAAAAATAGAACATGTCCAAGTATAACAAAAAGAAAGAACTGAAAAGGTGTTGGAGCACAGATTAATCTGCCCTGAATTCACTGCTCCTCGGCTGTACTCTGGCCTTATGCATCATAGCACAAAGCAACTCGCACCGTGCCAAGTTCAGTAGGAGGAGGTGTAGGAGGCAAGGCCTGTTTGAAGCTAAGAACAAACAGGAGGCCAAAGTCCAACGTTACAATTTCTATGAGTATGAATGAAATGCCCGAAAATATGACACAAAGATGGCAAAAGTACTTATCTTTGTAATTCCTGAGTTCAAGCTAAAAGGGGTAATACAAAGAAAACAGCTGGGCTTTTCAGAAAATGCTTGGTCTGTGTCACTGAAATAATCTAAAGTGAGCCTGTTTAATCTGGACGGACGGTGAGGCCTTCAACGGCGAGTTATGAAACTATGTGCTCAGTAGCCTCTTTCTAGAGCCTCTTGATCCAGGGCTGCAGAAAGGTGGTGAGGCTGGGGGAGAAAAATGCTTAGGACCACATTTTCAAGTGCTATCTCTTTTGGACTTCTTTCCTTCAGGGGTCATCCTTTGAGATGACTCTTTGCTCCACCTTATTTTCAGGGTTCTGGTCATCTCCTGACTCAGCTGGGATTCTGGCGTGCACCAGTGCAAAGGCTGGAGGCCTGGAACCTCCCAATAAAATGTAGCCCTAAGAATTCACCCTAGAGCCTACATTTCCAAACCACCTGGGGTGACTCACAGAATAATGCAAAGGCAGAAGCAAGCACTTCAGCTCATGGCATTTGTTCCTCTACACTAAGTAGGAGGCAACTGTGCCTCTCCAAAAACAGTATACAAGAATTCAGCTGTACCACAGAAGATTTTGGGAAGTCACATGCTTTCTTCTCTGATTTTTTTTAAAAGGTCTGTGAAGGAAAACAAAGGTTAAATGTCCAAGGTGAGTCACAGTGTGAGCTCAAGTTGTGCTACATACTCATTCCATCTTAAAACCAGTATAGTTGTTGACTGCTTTGGGATAAGTGTCTCTAATTTTTCACCTGCAGCAGCTTGGAATGATGTCTCTGTCTTCCAGATCAAAGGAGCCAAAGTGCCAGTGAATGTATTTCTTGTAAGCAAGGTGACACAGCTGGTTGTTGATATTGCCATCCATCAAGTCCAGAAAGGGGTCTTTGTAGAGAAGGCCTTTCTTCAGGGTGTGACTGGACAGCACCAGCTGCTGAAACCAATGGGTGGTTGTGATGCACTGCCTTTTTTTCCTTCAGCAGCAGAGCTGCTCTTGGTACTTCTGTCTTGGCTGCCATTTGCCACAGCAGCACCTCTTTTTGCGGTCTAGGGAAGAGGCCCCTTGCCTGAGAGGCTGTCCCAGCTTGTATTCTTCATTGTCATGGTTCTCGTCGTTCTCACTGGTGCCCATCAGCTTGGATTCTTCATTATCATGGTTCTCATTGGTGTCACTGGTGCACACAGCTTGGATTCCTCATTATCATCGTTCTCATTGGACTCACTGGTGCGCATCGGCTCGGATTCTTTGTTATCATGGTTCTCATTGGACTCACTTGTGCAGCAGCTGCCAGCATCACAGCATTTCACAGGGTGGCTCTGCAACTATTCCCAACATAAATTAAAGAAAACAGCATTTGCTGCTTCATCCAACTGCAGCGAGAATTTACAACAGTGATCCTCACCATTGGGTTTTTCATTTGACACAGCACAATAGGGATAATGACGATAGATCAGCAGATCTGGAGGAGGATTGTCTTTCTGTGTTGCCAACGCCCACCCTAGCGAACTTGAATCGACACCTCGCAAGTTGTTTCAACACCAACGCACTCCCCCTGGCACATACCCACCACAGGAAAGCAGCAATTTTTAGCTAACTCTAGAAAATACATCCTCTGGTCACAGGACCTATACACTTGAAGTGGACAACAGGTATCTAGTTTTAGCCTCTCAGAATCTAATCAGGAAATAGGGGAGGTGGGGGGTGGCGGAAACCCAAATCAGTTTGGAATGACATTCCTCAGTTTTACTTTCTGAAGGGAGGATCCCAAAGGTTAAGTGTCTGTCTTTACGTTAACAACGACTTCCATCTCAGAATGATGGACAGGAGAGAGGAGAGGGGTATATGGCAGAAGTGCGGCTAAGGAAATAGCAAGCTTTCTTCTCCCTCCACAAGGAAAAAGAATTGCATTTACTGTGCCAAAGACAGGGATATCAAACCGTATTCCATAGACGTTGAAAAGGGTTCTCTGTTCCTTCCCATGTGGTAGCTAGTAGTACCTTGCATATTTGCAAAGAGTAAATGAAGATCTGTGCAGCTTCCCTGGAGGATATAACGCCATGAGGCTGCAGAACACAAAAAGAGGCGTAGTTTCTTCTCCCTTTTTCCTCCGGCCCTTTCAGCCTTCTGAAACGAAGGTGATGAGGCCAGCTTGATGAACAGTATTTTGCCCAGCACCTGACCTGGCAGTCTAAACTAAATTAATACATATATAGAGATTTAGACAAATTAAAAATCCAACTAATGGCCAATCAGTGTTTTGCTGTCTCAATTCAAATTGGAACCTGAAGCTGCAGAAAGAAGTTCAATCACAGGTAAAGCAGATAGAAAACCCCAGCCAGGATATGTGAGGAGCTGGCAATGACAAGACTGCCCATGCTCTGAAGGCTTTAATATCATGTCATCCAAGACCAACTCTGAACTCCTGAGCACACTTCAGCATGCTGGATATCAGCCATTTTCCATTCTTCGATCAGTAGAGAGTGGCAAGAATCTTGTGAGCCTTTACTAACTTCCAGTTTCTTATTCTGTCAAGAACATGGCCTTCCTCATACACAGCTCACATCAGCTTATGGATCAATAAGCAGTCACAGAGCATGGAACAAAGAGATCTTTTAAATCTGACAAAGAAAAGCTGGCATTACAGACAAAATCATTACATTAAACTGAAAGACATACTAAACCACACAATGGTACCAATATCCAACCTCTGATAACAACACCTGTATGTCTTCTGCCTCAGACATGCTGTCAGGACTTAAAAGTGCTGTATTGTTCTTGACTGGTTTACTTGAATGATCTCCAAGTCCTGTTCTCCTTCATTTAGATAAATAGTGTGAATGGTGATTTGCTTAGCTGAAGGGACAGAAGGTCACTTCCAGGGGTGGCAGATACTCACAGATCACTGTCATTGCTAATCAAAATTTGTTTTATAGTTGGTTGCCTGTTTGAGTACTGAAAGAGTAAACTGTTTAAGAGGATATGTCTGGTGTAAATGCCATCAGCTCAGCCCTCTGCTTTCTAGCATCTCCAGGTACTCCTTGAGATGAGAGAGACATCTAAAGAAAAATAGGGTTTCCTTCTTTCCTTTCTTTTTGGGTTCAATCCCTGCTGCTCTGCTTTGACATCTTGATGCTAACAAACCAGCCCAGAGCAAGCTTTTACTTGATTCCACTCACTGACTCCTGCACATCCTACTGCAAGCTAAGTTTGGCAGACTTTCAGAGTGCTTTTAACCAGAGTTCCCTAGATCATGCGATCATTTGCTTCCCATTCACCGCGATCTGATTTGTATTCTCTGAAAGCAGTGAGTCACTCAGAAAAACACATTGTAATGTGTTCTGCTTTCTTCTTGCTTGCACAGACATGAAATGCCCTTTTTCCTGTGCTGAACGGTTCCACAGTCTGTAGCCAAGACATGTTTTACTGCCCAGCTCTTAGCCTCTGAAGCCTGCAGGTCAGTTAGGTTTTATTTGAAAGTTTTCCTAACTCTTTTCAGGATCAGAGGTTTTCTCTAGCCCTCAGGGTAGAGATTATTTCGCATCTGCTCTGTTAAGAGCTTTCTTGATCAACTGGCTGAAGCTTTGCTCCCTTGCACCTCAAGTAGCTCATTTCTTTTGGAAGGCTAAAGCCTGTTTCCATTTAAGTCTGTCACAATTCCCTTGGAACTGGGATGAAATCAATAGAGCTCCATGCAGACAGAGGTTATAAGTTGCTCCAAGTAGCCTTCCTAACTTCTAGGACCGCTAGACTGCAGGGGAAGCAGCATTCTATGTGCCGTGTTTCTTACGCTCTTTTCCAAAATTTTCTCCTGCTATTGAACTTTGTAAGCTTTAGGACACTGGGCTGGATGGACCTCTGATATGATAATATTTCACATTCTTATGACATGTTACTGATGTCAAAAAAGTTTTCTCAAAATATATTAATTTTAGGATGATTTCTAGCTCCCCCCTCTACTCACTTGAGTAGTTCTACTGAAATCAGCAGCTCTGTTTATACAAGTTGGCATACACCAGCTCAACAGCGTGGCAGGGTTTGTGCATGTTCTTCACCAAAACACCCATGCTTGTTTTAAATAGTATTAGGCTCAATCTATTAACTGCTCTTCAACTTTCACTGTCTTTGCTTTTTAAATTGCTGCACTGAACTACTCTGCTCCTCTTTTTTAATTTTGGAGACATTAGAGAATGACATTTCTTTGCCAACAAACCCCTTGATTAACAGATACAGAGTCAGGTCACCAGGATGTGGTCTGGCATCATGCACACTCTCCCAGCAGCCTACGTTCTCAGGCTAGGGTCACTTTCTGCAGCAGAGATTTCAGCTGAACTGCAGCAAAATAATCTTGCTACAGACCGGTATTTTGATACGTAAAAGATAACAAATTTTGGGCAAACCCATTCTTGGCATTTTGACCCCAGCTGTTAATCTGACACTAAACATCCTCAAAATGACTCCACTGTCTTCTTCCAAAAGCCTTCTCAGAAACTGCTTTGCCTATAAAAATGTAATCAACAGAAAGGTTGCTGGCCTCAGCCTCTTACTTCTTCCTTGCGATGTCCCCCACCTCCTGTCTGTGGTTGCCAGGTCAGAGGGAACGCCTATTTGTTTGCACAGCTCCAGCACAACGCAGCTTTGGAATATGCTGGCAGCTCCTAGACAGTTACAGCACTCATGTTAGCATCACGAATGTATGAAAACCCATAATGTAATAACCATCATGCCATAGTCAAAAAAAGTGTTGTTACACAAGAGTTTTGACCTAGATCTGAGGGACAACTTTAGTTTTAAGCATGCTGATAAGCATTTGATAAATGCTTTGTGTAACTATTTAGAACTAGAGTCACATCAAGATTTTTTGTCAAAACTTCTCATAAATCTGCTATATGTACACAGAACCAAAAGCTCTAATTTGCTTCTGAATAAATCTTGATTCAGTGAACTGTGGGGTTACCCAGATGGAAGAAAAACACTTTGTTATTTTATTTGTGTTAATTGCCTTGGGAAACTCACAAGTTTAGGTAGTTTCAAGCCTCAATTGCCATATGGTGGAATCTGCCCAAACTATTCTGTGTTAGCTCCCAGAATACTTGTTGGAAATTTCTAGGCCTTTTGACACAGAAATAAAATCTCCTATAATACAAGCATGCTATATTATGTCATGAAAATGACCATGATGATACATCTATACAACTGCAGTAACTGCAGGTTAAGAACATGACTACAAGAATGAAGAAGGAGAATTAAACGTCTTGTCATTCTAAGACATCATTCCCCACACTTCATCTCATCTTTGCTTCAACTCAGAAAAGATGTTACTTGCTTCATACAACATTTTTTACCTGAAGCATAATCCAAGCTTTATTTATTGGTCATCAAGGCAGCAGAAACCATACTTTGGACTGCAGTCGTAAAACCAGCTGTCCAAGTTACAGTCCCAGTTAATCTCAATGGCAATGATTCCTCCCTAGAAACAGATGCAGAAAGCTTAGTGACTAGCACTGTGATTGCTGCTAAAGTCAGCAGAGACTTGAGGGATGCCATTGGCAGGGACACATCTCTGTACACAGGCTCATTCATAAGCAATATTTGCCAATCAAGCAGTCTACTATAGAAGTGACTTAGCTATGTGAGCTAGGAGCCACCATTCATTCAGGCCTTTCCTATCTTCTATAGCACAAGTGTGGATGTATACTGCGATGGTTGTTTTGTTGCTTCAAACTACGTATAGGCTCAAACCAACAGCCTGAGTGCAAGCCTAAGTTTTGTAGGCACCCAGTCCAAATGTTTCATCTTTAATGCACTGTGCCAGGCTGAGAATTAATATATGTGGCTCAGCTGATGACTCTGGGCAGGACACTTTGTCTCTACTTCTATTCTACCCATCTGTTAATATTGACTTTCTAGAGGTATGGCTGGATACTGCATTAAGGGCATTTGGCTGAATACCCTAAAGAACAGAGTGAAAATGTAATGGCAAAAATAAGTACTTTTTGACTCTGAATATAAGGTGCCATTTGTGCCAGTCTGACTTCTGGATGATTCTCCCAGCAACATTATTTAGGACCTGCTGGAGCAGAATCAACAGATGACCAGGAGTGACAGCCGTGTATAGGACCGATTTAAATGCACTGTGCTTTGTAAAAGGGCCTCTACATGCTACAGTACTAACCAAACAATATCAACTCCATCAACATGGGCCCCATTCTGTGAGATGTTAAGCACATTTAATTCTTGAAAGTCGGGGTTACTTTGCTTCTCACACAATCAGTTTCTAAACCTAGAACAAATTCATTATATGGCAGGCAGCAAAACATGCATAAAGAGAATCAAGAAAATGTTTTAACACTGAGCATGAGAAAAAACTGGTATCACAGACCTTTACTGCCACCTCAGAAAAATTCTCTTTTGCTTCCTGAAGGATATCTCCCAGACAGAAAATTGGACAGAGCGGGGAAGTATCTTGTATGTGCAGGAACTATTTAAATTTGGTGGAATATTTAGTCTGTGAAGAACACACACAATTGTTTAAATTTAAAGCCAAGCTGAAGCAGCTACAGATACGGGTAGGGGACTTACTAGAATTTGTGTTAAATGTGCTCAGCTTTTAAGTATATGAGCTTTTGGTTTTGTAGCTACCAGATCTATATATCCCTAACTGGGATCTGGGAATCAAGATGAATTCTCTACTCTTTGGATACTATCACCAGAAAAATTTTACCTGTGTAAACTAAACACTTTCACCTTATAATTTGAATCACCCATCTGTTGTGCTAGATTTTAGTGATTTTACCCTAACATAAACCAGTACATCTGAATGAACAATTCTGTTGTCCAGTGCATGAGAGAAATAGAGTTATGCAGGGAGGCTCTCTTCCCAAGCTCTCCTTATTTCTCTTGGTTCCTTAAGGATTAATAGGGCTAAGGAATTCTAGAAACTTGATATTGGTCACTCAGGCAGATACAGCCCTGAATGCATAGCCTTTCTGAGTAAAGAAGGTGCCAATTTATACAATCTTTCTTCCAGAGCACAACTGCTCACTCTTCAGAAAGCATTGAGGAATGTTTGCACTTACATGGGGTAATTAAATTTTGGGAAGTGAATGTTGTTCTTTATTAGCACAGTGAAGTCTTCAGAACTCCTCAGAACAGCAGGCCTAAAAAAAGAAACATCAAATTAACTAACTTCTTTTACTTAAATACATCAGTTAATGTTATGCTACTTCACTATCACCTGGAAAGCTGTCAGTAGGAGGAATATGTTGCTAAGAATAACAGATTGAAATGGAGGGAGTTAGGTGGCTCAGGGGATCAAGAAAGATATAGGTGGTTTTCTTAGCTTTAGGTATAAATTGTTCTCTCTCTATTGCACTCGTTTGTGTGGGCCAAGCCTAACTGGAGTTTCTACATGCAGCTGAAATATGATCTCAGGAGACTTCTCATATAAATCTTGATATAGAATAGTAGTAAGAAATTACACCATTTGACAGCTGATGATTTCTGTACAATGAATTGGCAGTTTCATTGCTGGTCCCCACATACAGGTGGCCATTTACACCAGAGCTGCACAACTAGTAAAAGTAGAAGAATGAGCCATGCACTCGATCCTAGAAGATGTCTCTGGAAGTCAGGTGTCAATCACATCACCAAAGGTTGTCCTGCCTCCTGAGCAGACACAGGTTTGAGGAGCTTCCCTGCAGCAGGCTGTGTCACTAAATATGTAGGTGGAATGCAAACACAATGGACAAAGCAGGCTGCCAGTCTGACCCTTCCTCAAAAGTGATTTCTCTAAAGCTCATGTGGCAGGAAAGAAGGAACTTTCCTGCAAGTTGTCAGCTGGGTAACCTTGGTCTAGACAGTGTGAGACAACCTCTGCTACACTCCAGGACTTGCCAGGGCTATAAGAAAGTAAGAGATACAATTTTTAGCATTGTTTGTCTAGCACAGAGACTATGCTGACCTGGAATATTGGCACTGCTCCATTTTAAGAATGAGCCAGGAATATTTTTATTTCCATCAAGACTGCCATTCCAAGGGGGAAACTCAGTCTCCAAAGCAGTCATCCACATAAAGGACAGTGCTTCTAAGCCAGGAATATTTTCCCTATCATTGTATTTTGAGCAATGCCTCTGCATCAGAGATCTGCGATGACAAGAAGCACATTAGCTGGATGATATACAGCTTCTCATGAGTGTCTTCTAAACCAAGTCAACGAATGACACTTGACTGCAAACCAAATTAACATCTGTGATGCTACTTGGACATGAAAGTCACTGATGAGTTTCAGTGTATAATAGTGAAGTCATTAATAATGTATGTTAATTTTTAAAGAACTAAAAACAAATGAACCTATAATGTGAAACTGTCCATAATTCATCCACTGGGAAGTATCTGGAATCTGATCCAAAGCTCTTCTGAATAAGGTGGTGTAAACATCTGTCCTTCAGCCAGCTAACCTGACAACTGTGCCCTGTCTCAGGCAGAAATGAACAATCAAAAATAAAAGAGTCTTCTTGCCAACATCCAAGATGTTTGTTCAGCTCCTGCCATAGCTAATGGGAAGGAAAAGGAGGCCTCCTGTATAGTTCACAAAACTTACCTTTCAAAGGAATATGGACAATAAAGACAATCATGGGTGTAACCAACGCCCAACATTGCTACCTCACTATCTCAACCAGATGGCAAAGCTTCCTGGGCTCTGACCTTGGTCTTATGTTTCTGGTACAAAATAACCACTCAGCTTTTCTTTTAGCGATTCCTCATTTTTTTCTGTGCCAATGGAACTTGTGAAGGAACTTTATACATCAGAGGTTTGGATCAAACCTCTCATCCATTATTTTTGGTCCCTGGGAGTGACCGACTCCTGGCACTTCAGAGAAAGGTTAGGAAACAAGACAGAATGTGTCAACTCTGCGATGTAATTAAAAGCAAAATTCCCTCTGTAACATACGCATCAGTGAGCCTACGCAGTGTGACATTTAAAAATGACTGGCAGTCACTGAAACTTCATAAAAAACCCCTAGGATTTCATTAACTCAGGAAGCTCATGCATATCTTTCCCGGATGCTGTACGAACAATTACAGCCTTCCTGTTGCTGGACAAAGCTTTTTTCAGATCACAACTCGGTCCGCAGGAGAAGGGAATGGAAAATCCTTTAAAGAGCTGAAAAAACCTCAGCAGAAGGAGCTGTAGGAGGCATTGTGGGCTCTGGAGGGGACCTGGCAGTGGAAAAACTGCTCAGTCTCTGCAGAAAACCCCAAATTAGGGAAAAGATGGGGTATGTACATAGAGTCACGCTGGTATCTTTTAAAAGCAATGAGTTAATAAAAGTGATAATTGACCTAGTTTCTCACACATATATTTCAAAGCTGGTTGAGAGGAGCTAAAATTGATTATCCTTTGCTCTCTTAACTTCCATCATTTTAGTTGAAATAAAATATTTTCTAAAGATTTTGGCTGATATAGAATAGAACTAGAACATTCTCATCTCGGAACACTGTACAGTCATGGGGTTACAAAAAAAGATGGCTACGAGGCCCCTCCATGCTACTCTGTAGGTCACAGCAGCATCGTTCCATGGAGTCTTTTTCCTAGAGTATTCTTCGGCTCACTATTACAGATTGCCAGCATTGAGGTTTTCATCATCTACCTAGAGAGGATGGAGAGACTGATCTTCTGTTTGAGGTGGATCCCCAAACACTAGCCTGCAGCACAATGTATAGACAACCGATCTACCTTGAGATGGAAGCAACCTCACTGTGATAAACAAACCCACAAAGAACTTCTACACCCTAGAGCCCTAAGCCTTGCAGAAGAAAACCCCAAGTTAGGAAACTTTTTATTTCTGTCACTGATTAAACCTATCTTACATTGATGCATTTTCCTTGACATTTGAATTAATGAGCCAAATGCCTCTAGTGAATTCAAGATGAGGCTGTGACATCTAAAACTGTTTCTATGGCAGCTGCATGATGATACAAATTGGAGCCTATGACTTCACTGCAGAATCATACAGCAGGACAGATTGTTAGAAGTTATTTAGATATTATAATGAGTGTTAACAGTATGGCTATGAAGGAAATAGCTGGTTTACATACAGGAGATCTATATGTGCCTAGGCAAAGGGATTATCCTAAAATTTCATTACTTTGTCAACGTAAATCCTTCTTTTGACATAAAAAAAAAAAGCAGATATATCTTTAACTTACTCAGGGGGAGTTTTCCATGGGTTCCACAGGGCACCATGCCCTGACCTCACAGGTTTTAACAGTTGCATTATAATTCACACATCCTCCTGTTTGAATTTCTGTAGAGAAATAAGCTCTTACTCAGCAAAGACAAGAGTTTTTCACCAATTAGAGACACTTTCAACATGTCAGTGGATTCCTCCTCAAATGTAAGATAGGGAGCTTGACATTTCAGATTGCTGCAGCTTTCTATAGGAGGAAGCTGAAGGAAGAACTACCCAAACCATGGTCCTGCCACACCTCATCAATCCTTATTTAGTCATTTACTTGGGTCAACAGTGCTTGTCATTGTTTGGACTGAGGGTGAAGTAATTTCCTTCACAGTTTTATATGAAGTTACATATCTGAATCTTGGGATGAATCAAGAAGCCAGCTGTTTCAGTCAGAAGTTTAATTCAACAACACGAGCAAATAAAACAAGGATATAAAGGCGGGCAGAAAACCTTAATTCTTTCTGCTCTCCTGAAAAGTCAGCATTTTCTGTGAGTGTTTAGTCTTTATCAGGGAAAGTGATAATCCAGCCAGCAGCCCAAATTCAGGAAAAATCATCACCACAAAGAACTCACACGGCTGATGAAAACAGTATGATGCCTTCTGGACAACTGGTCCCAAATAAAGGACACAAGTCCCCTGACTTATTCTGAGAACTACCTAACCATCACAGGGGCGTTACAGATCCTTCAAACAGATCCTGCAGTCACTCCACTTGCAAAACAGCCACGGACTTCAATGGGAGTGACTGTGAGATCGGCCCTCATTCACACGTCTGTCATCTCCCCTTCCTCTGCTCCCTCTCACTGTTTCTCCTTTTAGTAAGGGCACACGCAAGCTGATAAGAATTCAGTTTTGTAGTTAATATTGCAGTAGAAGATAGTACCCACAAAAAATATTTCAATCTGAAAATGCAGTTTACATACTATGACTGTGGATGACACTCCCTTTTTCACAGGATTTGTCTGAAGAGCAGATGGCTTTGGAGAAGGGATACTGGGAAAAAAATTACATAAAAGAGCAATATCAATATCTCCCTCTCCACATCTATGCAAAAAGTCTTACTCAGCTTCAGTATAAAAGTATCAATTAGTAAGACAAAATAACAATGCACAGCAGGTATAACCCTTACTAATTATTTGGCTTATAGGAGATACAGGCTCAGCTACCTGCAAAACCAGAAGAAAGCCCTTTCCTTGCTTACAATAACATTTTCCCATTTTTCACACTCCGTCCTATACTGTTAAGCACAATAAATTTAATACTGGACTATTTAATTCTTTGTTTACTAACATTCCCATATGCTTTTGCCAGTGAATGTCAACTTGTATTCGGGAACTACTCTGCAAGGCCCCGCTTCTAGGCCAGCCAAATGAAGAGGAGAGTTGCAGCTGATGACCAGGTTTAACCTACAGAAAGGAAGGAAGGGGACACGTAGGAATGAGCAACAGTAATAGAAAGCGCATCATATTAGCAGAGAAGCTGATAGCAATTCTGTAGCTCCACCATTCCTTCAGGTTTTCCTCCAGAGCAGCAGCAATGCCAGAGAAGCTGGACAGCAATCACTGGCCTGAACGTCATCACCTCCTGAAAGTGATGCAGAGAAGTTTGGCTGCAAGATCATTGGTGTGAGGCAAAGTCGGAACAGCCAGCTGATTCCCCAAGAGAGAAAAGGAGCAATTAAACTAGATCTTGCACGTTAGCTGCTGAGATACAGACGTAAAGAGCAACAGTATTTGCTTGTACTGGACTGCTCCAAGGACGGTCCACTCTTTTACATCAACATGCATTTGATACATCCCACGTATAAATCACAAAACATATTTACCTCAGGGAACCTCTGCTCAAGCTGATTCTCTGTCTTAATGACGTTGGTCATCACAAAAAGAGTTTACTGCCTACACAGAGGAAAGAATATGAATCTGACTGAAATTTCACATACTTGATTCAGATCTCAGTCATTCCAGAACATCACCTGGAAGGACAAGAAGGCTGTTCCTGCCCTACCTCCCCCTGACAGACATTCAGATTCATTCTTCTTGCACACACGGGAAAAGCTAGGGACATCATCAGGGCAGAAAAGAGCAGCAAGAGGCAAGGCGGCACTGATTTTTTTGTAAACTGGCATTACAACCAAGAAAGATACACTACTGTTAATTGGTAATAACACTACTGTGTTTAGTACAGCTATACTGGAGTGAATCTGTTCCTAGGTTTGCCACTACCAAAATACTAAATTGATTATGTAAAAAATGTGTAACAAATAGCACCACAGAAATTTCATAAAAGAGGATTTTTTTCTCCCCCCTTATATTAAGGGAGGAAGGGAAGCTTTGGCTTTAAACACTGCTATCTCCAATGTAAAGTAATCACATTGAGACATGTCAGAAAAGCAACCAGATGTATCAACAAAAGTTGAATATTGGACTGACATTAAATTAAGACTTACCTGCGTTGGTGTAATGTATTCGGCTGTATCCCAGATCCTGTTGTTTGTGTAAGCCACTCCCTACACCCTAGTGCATACTGAGCTGTTAACTTCATCTGTCTCCTGATAGAGTCTGTAAGCGACGACTACAACTGGCCAGATAAAAGAGAAAGGACAAATAAGTCCATAAGAATCAAATGGGTCAGCTTCTTCATATCATTCGTGGACAACATGCACTGCAAGACAAAAGTCAGATGGACGTTTTCAAGCAATCGAGAGCCTTTTTATGTGAGACGCATGTTTGACAAAAGTCTGCCTTGGTTTCAGTTTTGCAACTTCTGGCTTTGCCAGCAATGAATTCATATATGCAAGAAGAGATTTTCTGTTTTCCCATCCTAAATGATACAGACAACATGAGGTGACATCCTGGCCCTTCAGATGTTATTTGTGAAACAGCAATTAACTGCAACAGGGCTTGATGTCATCCAAAAACTTTCACCCATGCTGCGTTGCTGTGTACCTAGACTTTGACTTTTTCTGTCACAAACAGTACGGCCCTCTCTACGTTATTTTTTGTTTTAAGAGAGCTTAAAAGACTTAGTCCTTAACTTCCCAGAGCAACTATTTTTGCGCCTCATGCTGATTGCTTCAAAAACCTTGGCCTAATGTTTTCACTTTCTCATGAATGTGTGATTAAAAGGAGGAAGGACACCTCTGTTAAGCTGACAGGAAAGCCATCTAGCTCATCTAACTCATAAAAGCACCGTCAACTTTGAAAAACTATTGTATGTTCAGAAGATACTTTCCACACTACATAAAAGTGATATAAAAGGTTTGCTTTGAAAAACAAGCCACAAGAGCTAGCACCATTTCAGTTTAACAAGACTGTTCGGAGCGGGGGGTGGGAGGGGAATAAAAAAAGTATCTGAAGAACAGGAATACAAAGCAACTGATCAATGTTCCTTTATTTATATCGTCTATTATAATAGCATTTCAGCCTTTTCCTTCTGGAGAACAGTGCTTTGGGATAACCTTGTTGTTGGAAACTGGCAGTGGGAGCCCAGGCTCTGAGCAGCAGTAGGTGGGTATAGTACCTTAGTAAGGCAACTTGAACTTCCTGCAGACTTTATTCTTTGTGAGATTGGGATCAGTGTGCTCAATGTCCTGGCCTGCTGCCCTCCCATGAGAATGAAACCAACTTTATGAACTTCGGCAGACTTTGTTCAGCAAACACTTATCACTGAGAACAGCCCCAGTTTGGCAGCAAAGAGGAAAATCTGCCCTTTAGAGGCAATTAATTATTGCATATTCCTAAAACATCTTATTGTTCTTGAAATCTGCTGCACGGCGTGACTCGCCATTTCATCTGACCCTGAATAGTAGACTCTACAGAGCAGACTCTAATCTCAGAAACACTCGTGTAAATCTGAGATTATTCGGTGGAGTTATTTTGGATTTTTCAGACAAGAAACAAAACCAGACAGCATGGCAAGAAAAGAAACCCCAAGTGTTTTATAGAGGAAGCTTAGTTAACTCCATCCAAGCAACCTCACCTTGTTAGATAACATCCTATGCCACGCTCTCACCGCAAAGTTCCCACAACCACATCCATCTTCCAAGAATGGTCTAACACCAGATCAATGATCTTGTTTCCTGCCACAAAACTCAAAATGCTGAAAGCCAAGTTGCAACCAGACAACCCCCAATACAAGAAGCATTTGTTCACATACAACACAGCATCCCATCACCATGCACTTACCAAAGAGAGCAAGCAACAGTTATATAAAGGAAATATTTCACATAGCCACACATAACACTCTGAATGCATATGTATTTCGGAGACTTGTACTGAGTCAGGCACTCCAGCCAGACACGTACACCCATTGCTAGCACTTCCTGTGAGGCTTTTGAAATCCGCAGCTGCCTGGTGCTGTCTTCTTCCACCCCTGCATCCTTTCTGGGCCACCCCGCTTAAAGGCAGTTGATGGAATGAAGAACTGCCTAAAGAGGCACATCTTTTGGTTTGTTCACAGAAAAAGCACCAAATTTCACCCTGGGGCTCCAGAGTTGATTGCTAAGCACTGTTCTTGTCACCTTCTGTTGATGGCACCACCTCCCCTCAGTACTACCAGTCTTTACCAGTCTAACGTTTTTCTTCCAATCCTTTCATATTTTAAATCACCTAGGATGCGCCTATGGCTGTAGTCATAGCAAAACATTCAGAACCAGAGAGGCTTCTTGGCTGTTTGTATGATCTTAAATGCTTTAGCGCACGGGAACAAGTTGCATTCTGCACAAACAGGCTTCATTTTTTTGAGACATCAGTGATCACTCCTTGGGCTTTTGCTGACCACAGTCCATACTGCCATGGTTGGTATTAGTGACACTTCAGCAAGCAAAATACTGCTACGTAATAACAACGGAAAAGGTTCAACTGGGAATCAGAAACAGACCTGGGATGCATTTAGATGCTAGAATAGCCACAAAGAAATTGATTTTTAATGTAACAGAGTTAGATCTATGTGTACATGCACATAACAATATTTATAATACAAGAGACAAACAGGAGGGCTCAGATTGCATAAGGGAAGCAGAAGTAAGTGTTGTCTTCTCTTCCTAAATGCTTTTGTTTTTACATTAACATCTTCCATCTGTTTGGGATCTGACCTCAGCAGCTCAGCCGGACGTATTCATCTTCTTGCCCATGATGTTCCCATATAAGGTGATGTCTCTTCGCCCATGGAGCACGATTTTGATTTGCTCAGGTTTCGTTCCACTCTGATTTGCTGGCCTCTATGGTTGAGCTCTCTCACAGTTCTGCAAGGCAGTCATCCACACGGCAGTAGCTATAAAGAGACAAGAAAGTCAGGAGGGAGTAACAAAGCCGTGCCTGCAGATCTAGAGCTCTGGATAGTTTATTTGCAGGTTTCATTCTCTTTCTTCTGCATGTTGCCTCTGCATGATGCTTCTTCAACAAGCAGATTCCACAAGTCTTTCCCAAGCAATATAAAACATAAGCCCTATCCAGAGAACTGGATGGAATTATAGGGCTGAATTGTTATAACAACTCTCATATCATTAGGAAACTTTGCTTGAAATATCCTAACCCCCTCCATGCAAACTAACTTGGGAATTTGGAAAACGCCCCCAGAATTATACAACAAATATACGTTAACACTGGCCTTCAATTCTGTAAGACTTGATTCAGATACCACATCACCCCAGCTAAGATAACTTAAGACAAGTTAAGTGTCAAATTTCTCAGCTGCTTCCTGTAATATTTACCCAAGGCTGCACTGAAAGCTATCATCTCTTTTATGTCTGTGAAGATTCTGTTGTGATACAGAGGTCAAGACACTGAGCTAAGCCTTAATTTTTTTTTAAGCAGTTGAGTTTGAAGATTCAGACACTGCTACAGACTGTAAATATCAAGCAGCAGGCGGGCAGCCTGGGGTAGCAGTACGGCTACTTCGGGCTGCACGTACAAATAGCACAAAACCGTTAGAAGAAAGCATCATGAAAACATACAACTTTAAGGATGACACAGGACCGCCTATGCTTTCCTCAAGTTGAGAAGTTCCACAGAACTGGACTCTGATGCATGATTTTGCTCCTGCCTTCAATCGAGCTGTCTGATGGCCAGCAAGCTGGAGCTCAGCCAGTCCAGTTCTAATGACGTCTGGTCATGCAGGTCTCCTTCCCCACGAGTCAGAACAATCAGACTTCATGGCTTTCCACCACGACAGAGTGAAACAATCTCACCATCTTTTTTTTCTTCTTATCTTAGCATTTTCTAAAGTTTTCAGACATCCTTCCTCTTCTTTATCTGTTTTCTCTTTAACGTTACAGAGACATGAGAACAGGGGAACAGTCCTTTGCTTCTTGGAAGACGTAGGGACTGAAATAGTCTGACGTAAAGGAGAATCTCAGAGCAGCACCCTCCCACTGTACCCAGCAGAGATCCCTCTCCATACTCATCACTGTGGGCACAATTGCTTTCTCCTCTGCACCGAGATCTGAGGAAACGATGTGTATTGGTATTTACAGAAGCAGTGTTTCTCTAGCATTAAGTGGTGGACTCGCATCCACCACTTCCTATTATCTATTAATGCAGTCTACAGGGAGCAGACCTGGCCCCCAGCACCTCCACAGGAAATACCATTTTCATTTGCCCTCTCTGTGTATTCTATATGCTCAAAATACTCATCAGAAGAAAAGTGTAATTAATACCAGGAAAGCATGTCAAGGGAAAGTAGATCTCTTCTGGGAACTTGTAGGTAAATACGATTCCTAAAGGTCAGTGTACAGATTGAAAGCACAAAGGAAACATGATCTGGTTTTAAAGTTCAAATCCAGGAGTCAGGAGACTTGGATTATGTTCCTGGCTCTACCACAGCTTTCCTGCACAATCACAAGCAACCCATCCATCCTCTCAGTATTTAGCCAGTTAAAAGCTAGGACACCAATGCAGTGTCACTTTTCAGGCTTCCTGCGAAGACCAGTAAATAAGTGTTTTATGAAGTGTTTTCTGTTCCTCAGAAAGAAAAAAGGAGTTAACCTAAGACAGACGCAGTGCTTAGAATTGCAAAGTATTACATTTATGATTGCTATTTACTGAGTCAAATTCTGCAGTAATTTACAACCTGTGCATTTCAATTGGCACCAATTTAATATGACTCACTGCATATTTTAAACCATCATCTGTGGACTCACATGGGATTCTAAGACTACCCAAGAAGTTAATTGCAATAGCAGAGGCTCCAAAATCCACCTATTTAAGGTCCAAGCATGGGTTTTGAAGCATATGCAACAAAAAACTTGCAGATAGATACACATTTCATGAACAAGTTTCACTTTAATATATAGTCTATTTTTGATTGTTTGGCATTTTTGAAGCTCGTGTCCTCACTGCAGATTTAGCATAGCTAGCATTACATATTTATTGCTACTTTGAGGCACACTGACAACTGATCTTCAACCCTAAGGACATGAATCTGCCATTTGGCCCTAACGAAGCCTGGGCACAGGACTGGCATTAAAAAACAAGGAACCCCTGTGCATTTTTCCATTTCAAAGAAATGAAGTAACCATTCACCTGATATGTACATCAGCCACACTCGACATCTCTTTATGCTGTCAGAGACTGCCAGGA